AAAAAAAAAAAAAAGACTTTGCATGCTATTTTCAATACTGACTTATCTCTACCATTTTGTGTTTGTGACTTGTTTCTTTTATCCAACAGAGAATTTCCTGCTGACCCATTTTCTTACATCCTCTTCCTCTCTACTCCTCATCATGAGGAATGGGGAAAGAACTAATAGACATGGCAGTCACTTGAGCTACTAAATGGCAGTAACCTACACTAGAATCAGTCCTCACCTTGAAGAATGGAACATCAATAACTTCTCTAGTCTCAGGATCACAGAGGACAACCCAGCACCTTCATAAGCAACTGGCATGAAAGGATTCCTTTAACTTCTAAGCCAATTTTAAGAACAATTGCTGTGTAGGAGACATAGTAGACCCTTGATATCCACATATATACAATTCCAAGGAGATCACTGCTCAAGAACTGCCAATGCTCAGGAATCATAGAGCTCTGTAATGTAGTGGCTTGATTCACTTTTCCCATACTGCCATTCATCTTCTGCTAAAGCCATGCCATTTTTCAACAAACCTAAAATATTCACTTTATCAGTTAAGTAAAGCCCCTTATAAGTCCTTTTAGGACTGGGAGAATTACCCTGTTACCCTGTTTTATGGGTAGTATTTGCTTTGGGGAGAAGTATATTTTCACAAAATTAAGGACAGGGAAACACTCAATGAATCAAAAAATGATTTAAATACAGCTGACAATAATGTGAGTCTGACAGAACTTTTCTACATCATCTGAGCTATATAATGTATTTGTGGTAATTCAAAATTTTATATTTGAAGTATCTTTGACTAAAAATTATTTTTTGACAGCATTTGGTCAAAACCATGTGTAATAAGTCTGTGAATGTGGTGGGCTTACAGTATAATTACTTGGTTTCCTAGGAGCTAGGGTTAGTATCATCTTTACATAACTGACATTGGGAAGGGAAACAGAAAGAATATACCAATCCAGGACATACTTTTTCAGTATTCATTAGGGTGGTTTTCCATGGTATACACTGGCAAGGGGACTAAGTACTCTAGACATCAAGAGAAGAATTCTACTTTCTATCTTTAACTACTTCTTGTAGCAGAAATGGCATAACGTCTGCTGATCCTTATAAACAACCCTTGTGTTCTTCAGAGAAACATGTATAAAGCGGGAAAGGAGATTTGTTGTCACCATGGCCTTTTGTGTGTGTGTGTGCCAGCCCTGGGGCTTAAAGTCAGGGCCTAGACACTATCCCTGACTTTTTTTGCTCAAGGCTAATGCTCTACAATTTGAGCCACAGATCCACTACTGATTTTTTAGTGGTTAGTTGAAGATAAAGGGTCTCACAGACTTTCCTGCCTGGGATAGCTTTGAATCACCATCCTTAGATCTCAGTCTTCTCAGTAGCTACGATTACAGGCATCCTAGGCATAAAAAGCCACTGGAGCCCAGCTGGCTTTTTTTTTTTTTTAAACCAATACTAGCCATATTCAAGAACGTCTGAAAAAAAAAACCTACAAGCTCCGTTCTAAAATGACTACTGTTATCATTTTTACATAGTTTACTCTATACTTAAAAATATTTTTATTCATAAAAAGTACAAAGACTGTGGTCAGGCAGGCATGGTACCACACTCCTCTAATTTTAGTACTCAGGAGACTAAGATTGGAAGAAGCCTGGGCTACAGAGTGAGATTCTGATTGAAAAACAAACAAAAATTTCCCTTCCGGGGCTGGGAAGGTGGCTCAGTGGTAGAGCGCTTGCCTTGCATGCATGAGGTCCTGGGTTCGATTCCTCAGCACCGCAAAAGCAAAAAGAAAAAAGCCAGAAGTGGCGCTGTGGCTCAAGTGGTAGAGCGCTAGCCTTGAGCTGAAGAGCTGAGGGACAGGGCCCAGGCCCAGAGTTCAGGCCCCATGACCAGACTCCCACCTCCCCCCCCCAAAAAAAAAATTCCCTTCCTGTTCTATGTAACTAAGGGTTTTGTTTTGTTTTTTGCTTGGTTGTGGGGCTTGGGTGCTGTCCTTGCGCTCTTTGGCTCAAGGCGAGTGCTCTACCGCTTGAGCCACAGTGCCACTTCCATTTTTCTAGTGGTTTTTATTGGAGATAAGAATCTCATGGACTTTCCTGCCCGGGCTGGCTTTGAACCGCGATGCTCATATCTCAGCCTCTTGAGTAGCTAGGATTACAGGCGTGAGCCACTGGCGCCCGGCTGTAACTAAGTTGTTGGTTTTTTTTTGGGTCCGGTCGTGGGGCCTGAACTCTAGGCCTGGGCACTGTCCCTCAGCTCTTCAGCTCAAGGCTAGCACTCTACCACTTGAGCCACAGCGCCACTTCCAGCTTTTTTCTTTTTGCTTATGTGGTGCTGAGGAATCGAACCCAGGGCCTCAGGCATGCAAGGCAAGCGCTCTACCACTGAGCCAACTTCCCAGCCCTGTAACTAAGTTTTTTAAAAATTAGTTTTAAAACATTCTCATTAAATAGTTGTACAAATGAGTTTCATTTCAACAAATCAGTTTTTAATACACTATATCTTGAACAATGCCACCCCTTCCACCATTCTCCCCCATAACTAAGTTTTATAACCAAGACTTCCCTTCTTTTCCCTCCCCTTTTCTTCTTTCTTATTATCTTTTGCCAGTTGTGGAGCTTAAACTGAGGGCTTTGGCGCTGTCCCTGAACTCTTTTGCTCAAGGCTAGTACTCTACCACTTTGAGCCACAGTGTCACTTCCCATTTTCTGATGGTTAATTGGAGATTAAGTCTCATGGACTTTCCTGCCTTGGTTGGCTTTGAACCATGATCCTTAGATCTCAACCTCCTGAGTAGTGAGGATTACAGGCAGGAGTCACTAGCACCTGGTTTCTTTTTTTTACTTTTGTTCAAGATCAGGATTGAAACTTGGTACCTGATGCTTACTTTTGTTCTTTGGCTGGCACACTACCATCTGAGCCACACCTTCAACTCCATAACTAGGATTTTTAAAACCAAGATTATTTATTTGTAAAACCAAGATATTCTAATAACTATAGAGTAATTCAGTGAGAGTATTTATTTCTTTATATAACTAGTAAGTGGTAAAGCTGGCCCAGAATTGAGCCCACCTGTGTCCCACTTGAAAGCTCTAGATCACAGTGCACATGCCTTTTCCAGCTCCATCTCATATCACTCTCCACATTCATTCTTACTACTTTTTTTGTTTCTCAGACCTACTTTTTTCCTTGTCAGGAATTGAAGATAGAAACAGAAAAATATGATATTAGTAAGTCTGATGATTAGAAACATAAACAGATGCCTTGAAAATGCCATATTTCAATAGCCAGGAGGTAGATTGCTATGTGATCATTTGGATCTATCCATTTCTTTTTTTTTTTTTTGGTCCGGTCTTGGGGCCTGAACTCTGGGCCTGGGCGCTGTCCCTCAGCTCTTCAGCTCAAGGCTAGCGCTCTACCACTTGTGCCACAGCGCCACTTCCGGCTTTTTTCTTTTTGCGTATGTGGTGCTGAGGAATCGAACCCAGGGCCTCATGCATGCAAGGCAAGCGCTCTACCACTGAGCCACCTTCCCAGCCCGGATCTATCCATTTCTGAACATCAGTTTGCCCAACCTGTACCATCCCAGATATTTGTGCCCCTTCTCCTTCCAGACTGGACTTACCAAGTAGAACACAAAGCCCAGATATGCCACGCTGACCACTGCAGCCACCACATACAACACCACATGCCCTAGGTCCTGGACATAAACCACTACAAAGTACATGTTGATGGAACATACAATAAGGACCAAGATCCCGCCTGCAATTCTCCAGCCTCTGTAAAAGATCAGCACAGTAGAGAGTAAAACAATCTAAACTGGCCACAGACAGAAAATTGCATCTCATAAGGGTAATATGATAAGGATTTGGGGCACTGCAAAAAGAGAGCTAAAGTTATGCAATAACAGAAAGTAATAAGGGAAGTAATATATCAAATAAATCTTAATATTTATTCTAAAATTTGGGACCTTAAAAAAGTAACAAGCCTGAACATTACAATTAGTAATTTCATTAGAGGCCATTGAAATTTGACAAATAATGCAAAAATCGCATACCTTCAGATGTATGCAAAAGGTATTAGCTTATGCCTTTCACATTGAGATCATTTAACACAGAATTCAAACTTCAGTGGCTAAAGCTTAAATAAAATTCAGCACTAAAAAAACTGCATCGAAAAATTGTTTTTCCTCTTTAACTACATTCATATTCTCCATTCTCTACACCAAATGATTACTAGTAATCATTTATCAAAGCATGTAAAATCCCTGATGTGACTAATTTCTGATTGGTGTGTTAGATAAAAGTTCCCTATTTCCACATAGAAACTTCCCCTTTGAAAGAACGGAAATGACTATACTCACATTCCATTAGAAAAGTCACTCATTACTGGTCGCAAGCTTGTGAATGTGAGGATAGGTATGAGAGCAAAGGGAAGCTGGAAAAAAAAAATCAGACATGGATTCTGGTATCATCACAAAGAAAAACATAGCTAACAGAAGGAAATCACAATTATTTCTATCATCCCCACATACTCAAACTTTATGCTGAAATCTATGGAGCCTTCAAGCTATCTGTAATCTAGGATAAATGGTGATCATAAGTGTCCATATACAAAGACAAAATATTGAATCTGACTTGTCTTCTTAGCCTCCCCAGAATTTTGCATTCTTTCATTGTTATATTCACACCAGTCCTTGGGCTGGAACTCAGAGACTGAGGGCTGTCCCTGAGCTTTTTGTGCTCAAGACCAGTGTTCTACCACTTGAGCGACAGTTCCACTTCTGTTTTTTTTTTTTTTTTTAAAAACTGGATAGGGCTGGGAATGTAGCTTAGTGATAGGATGCTTGCCTAGCATGCAAGAGGCCCTGGGTCCCATTCTTCAGTACCACATAAACAGAAAAAGCCAGAAGTGGTGCTGTTGTTCAAGTGGTAGAGTGCTAGCCTTGAACAAAAAGAAGGTCAAGGACAGTGTCCAGGCCCTGAGTTCAAGCCCCAGGACTGGCCAAAAAAAACAAAACAAAAAAACAACTGGAGACAAGCCGGATGCCAGTGGCTCAAGCCTGTAATCCTAGCTACTCAGGAGGCTGAGATCTGAGGATCGCAGTTCAAAGCCAGCCCGGGCAGGAAAGGCCATGAGACTCTTATCTCCAATAAACCACCAGAAAACTGGAAGTGGCGCTGTGGTTCAAATGGTAGAACTGAAGAGCTGAGGGACAGTGCTCAGGCCCAGAGTTCAAGCCCCATGACCAACCAAAAATAAAAATAAAAAAACTGGAGACAAGAGTTACACAGACTTTCCTGTCTGTGTGACTTCGAGCCTCAATCCTCAGATCTCAGCCTCCTGAGTGGCTAGTATAGGCATTAGCCACTAGTGCCTGGCTTGTATAATGCATCTTGATCAACGTAACCTCTTCCATTGTTCTCCTGCCCTTCCATCTATCCTATCTCTACCTATCTTCTAAAGTTTCCTATTTCCATTTTCCTGTATGTACATTAAAAATTATGACTGCATTCATTCACCATCCTTTTCTCCATTCTCCTGCCTCCTTCTCCTTTAGCATAAAGTCTTATAACCATTTAATGTTTGCTGGATTAATGAATTGTAATATGGTATTCTTTAGGTCTCATAATTCCAATTCAACAAGCTGAAAAACTATTCATGTAAGTTCTCAATGTTCTACTACCAGTAGTCAGTACAAGACTTGATGCCTGATGGCAAGATTTAATGTCTGAATAAATATGATGTGAGCATTCCCAGCTCCTTGCTCACCTGTAAGCTTTGCAGAACATTCAGGAAGTCATTCATCCCAGTTAGGTGCTCTACATCTTGGAAGATAGCAACAAGCAGAGTGGGGATGATGGCAATGGAGCGTGTCAGAATCACTCGGGCAAAACGTGACCATTTTAGGTTCAGGAACCCCTGAAAGAAAACATAGAATCATGGGCTGGGAAGGTGGCTCAGTGGTAGAGCGCTTGCCTTGCATGCCTGAGGCCCTGGGTTCGATTCCTCAGCACCACATAAGCAAAAAGAAAAAAGCCAGAAGTGGCGCTGTGGCTCAAGTGGTAGAGTGCTAGCCTTAAGCTGAAGAGCTGAAGGACAGTGCCCAGGCGCAGAGTTCAGGCCCCATGACCGGACCCCCCCAAAAAAAAAGAAAAAAAAAGAAAACACAGAATCAGGATGATTTTCTGGAATGGAAAAGAGAGAATTGGGGATGAGAGAGAACTTAGAAGCATGAAATAAAGAAGCCCAAAGCCAATTATTCATGCTTATAATCCTCGCTAATTAGGATACTGGAATGATCACAGAGGACAGCACAGGCAGAAATGGTGGTAAGACCCTATCTCAACAATAACCAACAAAAAACAGAACTGGAAGCATGGTTCAAGTGGAAGAGCAACAGCCTAGAAAGCCTGAGGCTGAGTTCAAATCCCAGGATTGCAACAAAACAAAGCAAAAAGAAAGAAAGAAAAAAAAAAGAAACATCAAATGTCTGTGTCATCTCTCTATTTAACACTAGCACATACCTCCATGACAAACTGACCGGAATAGGTTCCTGTCATGGTGGAACTCTGTCCTGCAGCTAGGATCCCCACTGCCCAGATGTAGAGTGCAGCAGGTCCGAAGTAACATCCCAGCACAACACCCTGGGAGAGGCAAGGGAAGATGAGCTATGTCAGTCATCTGCTTAGCCAACAGCTCATCCTTGTGGCATTCTTCCTTCTTCTTAGTTAGGTAGCACTCATACCAAGTCCTGTGCTAGACACTGCTCCAAAGCTAGGCTCAGTTTTAATCTGACTCTATAGGCTTTTATTTTCAACTTTGCTGGACGTTCCTTCATTACTCAGCCTAGTACTCTCTTCTCCAAGCACCTAAAGCATTCATCTCCATCTTACATACAGAAATAACAGAAGCCTATACCACATTCCCATATCTTTCTGTACCCCTCCCCCATTCTGGAAAGTAGTAAGAGTGTAAAGAAAGGTCAAATATATTTGGGGAATGCAGTACACTATACATTATACTATTGGAGGGTTATGATATAAGCAGAATAAAGGGACTGAGAGACCCTGGTAAAGAACATTATTTACCACAATTAACAATCATAAGCTGTCACCAGGATTTTGGAAACTTTTCAACTGATACCATATGACAATCCACCCTAATCATATAACCCAAATGCTTGTCTAGCAAGTTGATCTCTGAAATAAATAATACTCTAAAGCAAACATGGTCAGATCTGAAACAAACTCACAAAAAGACCATAAAATAAGCCAAGATTGATTTAAGAGCAAAGATCACAAACCGGAACATGCTTACCCCTTTGTAGATGTCCACAGCCAGAGTTGAGTTATCCTCAGGAAAAAGGCCAGAATGGGGACTGCTGCTGTTTTTACAGACACCAACCTAGAACCCAAAGCAGTTTAAGAGCAATTTTTGTTTTAGAGTCAGAAAGCAGGTAAGAGCTCTACTACAAATCACATCAAGGTCTTTTATAAGGAGTAGGCTGAAAGAAAGCCTAGAGCAGGATGTGATAATGAACAGACACTGGCATTATTGTTTGTAATCCTCCTCCACAATCTTTTAGATCCCCATTTTGTCAAACTTCTTTATTAAGTCAGTGTGCCCTGATAATACATAAATCTTGCTCATTTTAAACAATGATAGAAGAGGCCCATAGAAGGCTTCAAACATGAGAGGACATGGAATAGGGAGAATTCATTCAAAAGAGAGCTAGAGGTCCTAAAAAACAAGTGGTGATAAAAACTAAAAAAGCACCTGGAGGTACAGCTCAGTGGTAGAGTATACACTCAACATGCATAAAGCACCAGGCTTGGTACTCAGCATAGCTTTGCCGGAGGGGTAGGGGGAAGTAGGCACTAGTGGCTCATTCCTGTAATCCTAGCTATTTAGGAGGCTGAGATCTGAGGATCAAGTCTCAAAGCCAGGCTGGACAGGAAAGAATATGAGAGTCTTATCTCCAATTACCCACCAAAGGGGGAAAAAAAAGATAGAAATGAAGCTGTGCTCCAGTGGTGGAGCACTAGCCTTGAATAAAATAGTTCAGGGACAACTCCCAGGCCCTGAGTTCAAGGCCCAGGTCTGCACAAAAACAAACAACAGAAAAAAAAAAAGAAGGAAGGAAGGAAGAGAGAAGGAAAGAGAGAAAGAAAGAAAACAAAAAGATTATATAGGTATCAGGAGTCCAAAAGACACAGATTTGAATAACAAATTTATACTTGTCACAAAGTGTGTTTTCTGTTTGCTAGCTCTTTCCAACCTGTCCTCAGCTTAGGTGGTAAGACTGGCAGCCAGGGAGAAGCTGATAGTCAGGAAATGGAAGGAGAAGCAGCCAAAGAGTTTTGAAGTCATCCACATGACAGCATGACTCAATGGTGAGTAAGAGGCCAGGTGCCTTTCCAGGAAAATACTGCGAAAGACAGAGATAGACTGGGCCAGCCACACATAATCTGACTAGTGTATAGGTAGAATTGAGGTTATAGATATATTTTCCCTGGGCATCTAGGCATTGTTGTAGTTTCCTGCCTCATTTAGCCTTCATTTTACCCTAATACTCACTACCACCCATGACCCTGGTTATACTCACCACCTGGTCATTGGTTTTCCCGAAAAATGCTTCAGCAAAGACGGAGACGACAAAGACGTTTATAATGAAGGAAACAAAGAGAGCAATGCAGGACTCAATGAAAAAGTACTTATTTGCTTCTCGAACTTCCTGCTTATTGGCCCGGTTTACCTGTCTAGACTAAAGAGATAGCAGCGGTCAATTTTTCACCACTTGCAGCAAATTTCCTTGTAAAACTTAGAACTTTAGAGTCAGCTGAGAGATTAAGAGAGCAAACAACTGACTAGATGAAATACAAGATCCAACAACTGACTTAAATCCAAGTCCATTAAGTGATTAAGAACTCCATACCCTTTGACAGCACTGCACATTCCCTAGATAGGGAAGAGTGACTAAGTGAACCTTCAGATATAGTGGCTGGAAAGACTACTGACCTGCAAACACTGACCTGCTGATTTCAGTCCTAATTATAAAAAGTCTCTGAAATCACCCAGTAAGTGAATACTAAGACTTATTGGTAAAGCTTGGCTGGGTTCCTCCCCTCTTGACCCCCCACCACAAGATGACTCAGGCTTTGGAGGCTGAAACACCAAAGGCTTGGTACACTTTCAGGTCTTACATGAAGAAAGTTAGCCATAGCTTCTTTTTGGGGTTAGTAGCTTCTGGTCAACTTGGTGATAAGAACATAATTCAAGAGTATGTGGAGTTTATAAATGTCCAGCACTAGAAATATCTTGTTCCTCAGGACTTTAAGAGTTATAAGCTAAATCTATGTTCCTTGTTGTTAAGGGAATGATCCTATGAACTGTATTGAAGGCCAACAATGTAAGGGTCTTGCTTACCTTGACTAAAGCAGAGTGCAGGTACATGTTGTGTGGCATGATCACAGCTCCCACAATGCCAACTGCCTGCTCAATCTGTGGCGTATGACAGCCAGAACAGGATGGCACAAACATGCCCTTGAGTACTTGGCTCTGGTTGGGTTTCACTGTAACATACTACACATCAACATCACTGATTAGCCTTTGATAAAACATGAGATAGGAAGTAATATAGGATCAGAGAATTCTGGCATCCTTTATTCTTATTTATTTATTGTTGGTCATGGGGCTTGAACTCTGGGCCTGAGCACTGTCCCTCAGCTCTTCAGCTCAAGGCTAGTGCTCTACCACTTGAGCTACAGTACCACTTCTGGTTTTCTGGTGGTTTATTGGAGATAAGAGTTTCCCGGACTTTCCTGCCCGGGCTGGCTTTGAACTGCGATCCTCAGATCTCAGCCCCTTGAAGTAGCTAGGATTACAGGCGTGAGCCACCAGCACCCGACTTCCTTTATTCCTTATAGTCCCTCTTCCTGCAACAATGACCTATTTGTGTAAAGAGTAGAAAATCACCAAAAATTCAAACAATAGCTGGGTGCAGTAGTCCCAGGTATTTGAAAGGCTAAAGTAGGAGAATTACTTGGGCCTAGAAGTTCTGAGGTCAGCTTGCCCAACTTAGAAGGCTATATTCTTTCAAGAAATAAAAAACTCTGGAGTATACTTAAGTGGAAGAACATCCAATATGCACAAAGCCCTGGATTTGATACCTAGCAACAACAATAACAACCACAAAAGAACAAAATAAGTTCTTTTGGTTAGAATATGAACTGTTCACCAAAGGCTCATATGTTCAACACCTGGTCCCCAGGTGGTAGTGTTATTTTGGGAAGTGTTGAAAACACTAAGAGATAGAACCTAGCTAGAGGAATGGGTCACTGGGGTGTTTTTGAAGAGCACCTGTGGCTCTGCCTCTTCTTGTCACTCTTTGCTTCCTGTCCACCATGAGGTGAGGAACTTCCTCCTCACATGCTCAGCTGCCATGATATTCTGCCCAAGCCAATAAGTACAAGAAACCAAAGGCTAAACCTTCTTGAATGAATCTTTCCTAAGTTCCTCAGGTATTTTGATCACAGCTACATGAGTAACTAATAACAAGGGACTCACTTCCAGATGTTAAAGAATTTGTGACTATGTAATCTAAATATTTAGTATCACATTAGTTCTTGAATATCCACACTTAGTATACTATATAGTCACCTATATTCATTTAAAAATCATCTATCACAGCCACTAGTGTACAGTGAGAGATTCATTCATAGACATTTCTCATTATGTTCTTCCCTGCAGTAGCATTTCTTAGAAACTTTGGGACAATTTCAAGATCTACTCATAGAGTAGATATAGTTTCCAATGTTTAGCCAAGCCAGTAAGCAGATACAAGTTTATTTGAATTTGACATAGAAAGATGTTATTACTTTAAATGAAGATACTGATTCCTGGGGGTATCTGGGTTGGAACACAAACCAGGAAATAATCACTAATCAAAACACAATGGAAATCTTGTTTTAAGAGGCTAATACATAGCCTGCCACACTTGCCTCATATCCAAATGTGAGAGCCATTATAGTGATGAGAAAGCCAAAAAATGCTTCAAGCTTCCGCAAGCCTAAGGAGGGAATGCAGCAGTGAGCTCACAGAAGGCAGACCACCCCAGCTGCCATGCCATAGGGAGTGGCTCCTTTAACTCCCCATTCCCACTCTCCTTACCATATTTGTCCAAAAACAGAAATACGAAAGTGTCTGCAATGGTGATTAGAACTCCACCCCACAGGGGAACCCTAGGTTAGAAATAAGAAATGGGAATTGAAGAAAGAAACACTCAAACCATTCTCTTCCCAATAGTTCTCCCCATGTAGAATACTTGGAGGAAAAGAGTTGGTGATAGGAAGTCTTAGGTAGTTGAGAAGCACAGCTCCAACTTCTGTGCATGCATTGAATCTTTGATTTAGAGTCAATGTCAGACATTTAGGACACACAACTGAAAATGCTGGGTCTTATTCGCAAGGTGCTCACTATCCAGTGGGGATAAACTGACATACAAGTAAATAATTGCAATTCAAATGACACATACTCTATAAAAAAAGAATGTACCATCATAGGAGAAGAAACAGAGAAATGTACCACCATAGGCAAATACATCTGCTGGGGGAGATAAAGGTGCTTCTAGAAAGGCTTCATAGAGAGTAACACTGAAGTTGAATTAAACATGAACTGAGTTTTCATTTTTACCTTGGCTTTGAATCCAACATAACACTGATAACTTTATAGAGGAAAACCCACTCACCTTCCAACAGACAGGAGATTGATAGCAATGGCTGAGCCAATCACTTCCTGCATATCTGAACCAATGATAGCCAACTCTACCATCAGCCACAGGATGATTCGTGGAACCTACACAGCAGAGTAAAAAGATGGGATTCTAATGCTTTATTTCTAAGAATTTCCTACTTTGTTTAGAATTCACCCTTTGGCACAGACCCACACAGACTTTTATAAGGGTTTTTTAAACAAAACATAATATAATGCAAACTTCCAGAGTATTGTGGATATATTCATAAAAGTGCTGGCGGAAAGAAAGCTCCCTCTTCATCCTTCTAGTGCTTCATAGTCCTGAGTTTGGTCCACAGCAATGCTGCCTCAATCCACCCACCTACCCACTTACCCAAGGGGAAAAAAAAAAAAAAGACTTCCAGACATGGAGTTCATTTCTGCCTTAGGAGGCAGAAAAACCCAAAATATGTAGAAGGAAGCTATAGCTCCGAGGGGGAAAGAGTAAATTGAAGAATAATTAGCAAATGCAAAACTGTTGCCACATATAGTTTGTAGTAAAAGGAAAAAGCTTACCTTATTCACAGTGAGGACAAACTAAAAAAGATCTATGTATAGAAAGATAGGTCTCTTTCTCTCTCTCTCTCTCTATACACACACACACACACAGACACACACACACACACACACACACACACACACACACACTGATGTAATAACACAGCTATATGCATAAAAGTGCTTGGAGAAGGCACCTTACACCCACTCCCATTGTCTGTGTAGCTAGATGGCAGAAAGTTGAGGGAATAGTAAATGAACAGCAAGCAGAATTTTTCTTAAAAACCCTTCTGGGAAAACATGAATCCCAAGTTATATTTTGAAGGAGAAGAAAAAAGTTAAGAAGGGCAGGATTTCCCTTAGTACTTCCAATCTTCAAGGTCACTGACCCCAAATGGTCCAATGGCTCAGTACAGAATATATCTGCCAGATACAAATTCCTACATGGGTAAGAGACAAATAAGACAGCACACTACTCACCTTCGGGTACTGACGGTGACACACTTCAGCAAGATGTAGCCCAGTGACCACTCCCAGTCTAGCTGCAAGGCGCTGGAGTAGCAGACCCACAATGGTGGCCAGTAGAAGGACCCAGAGCAACTAAGAACAAAAGCCACCGGAAAAAATATTAGACCACTTTGCTTCCTTTCTTTCCTTGGTTGTTTGGTAATGTAAAGGGGAAAATAGTACACTCAGAAAAGAGCCCAGATCAGGAATCAAATGGCCTGAGTTCTGCACCAATGACACAGTGGGTACCTTGGATTTTTCTATGCTTCAGATTCTCCTATCTGTAGTTTCTCCTTTTTTCATAGAAGCTATGTGAATAAAACAAAAAAAAAAAACAGGTGGCAAATATTTTCACTTAAGTTTCATTGCCAATGAAGTACAGTGGACCCTGGAAAAATGCAGCAGTTAGAAATGCTAAACCTTGTATAGTGGACTCTCCAAAAGCTTAACTACTAGCAGCCTGCTGTTTATCAGAAATCCTACTGACAACATAAATTTTTTCACCATGTATGGTGACAAATATGTTGAGCACTGTAAACTTCAGTATACAACTTACCAGAATTAACTGCCCTCACAGAAATATTCTGTGTCATGTAACATTTAAGTTGGATAATTGCAACACCTGGGCTTACCACAGCAGCAAGAGGTACAGACAAATGATAAAATAGTAAAATAGTAAAATTGTTATCTACATATAGCTTATTAGTTCAAATTTAAAGTTAAACATATCAAATTTAAAGTTAAATTTCTAGTATTTCTAGACAAAGCAGTTCATTTGCAAGTTTTTTCAAGTTGAAAACATTTACAAAAGAACCCATTAACCTGGGAACCAGTGGCTCATGCTTGTAATCTTAGCTACTGGGAAGCTGAGATCAGGAGGATTATGATTCAAGGCTAGTCCAGGCATAACTCAGTATCTCTCTGAACTAATAGCTGTCCATGATGACATACACCTAGCATTTCAACTACATGAGAGGCTGAAATTGAGAGGATCGCATTTCCAGCCAGCCCAGTCCAAAATAAATAAATAAGTGAATAAAAAAATAAGATGTTTGTGAGCCTCCCTCTCAACAAAGAAGCTGGGTATGGTGGTACATATGAGTCGTTGTGCCACCTATTGTATAAAGCATAACAGACCACAATTCAGTCCTAAGCCAAGACAAAACTTGAGACCCTAATCTCAAAATTACCGGCACAAAAAAGGACTGGCACAAAAAAGGACTAGCACAAAAAAGGGCTACTTAATATGCAGGTTGGAGAAAGGATGTGAGTGTATATTGTACGTATAAAAGAAGCAAACACTAGATGTTCACCTTAAATCCAGCTACTGCTCCAGACTGCAAATCAGATTCAATGTTTCCTGGATCCAAATAGGCAATGCTCATAAGAAAGCCTGGTCCCGTAAATGCCCAGAGTTTACGAAAGCTGAAACAGGAGTACTGTGCAAGAAAGGAAACAGATCAAATGGAATGTCACCTCAAAGTCATGAACTAATTTCTCTGTATTTTTATCAAACATGAAATAACAGTATCAGGTTCACAAAAGCAAGGGATTAGTGTTTGATATGACATGTGTCCATGTTTCATATCTGTTTCATACCACTTTTTATCAACAAGCCGGTCACTTCCCTGCTTGAGAGCCTTCTCTTACCTGTTCCTTCTATCAGTGTCATATTCTTTTTTTTTTGCTGGTCGTGGGGCTTGAACTCTGGACTTGAGTGCTGTCCCTCAGCTCTTCAGCTCAAGGCTAACACTCTACCACTTAAGCCACAGTACCACTTCTGGCTTTTTCTGCTTATGTGGTGCTCAGGAATGGAACCCAGGGCCTCATGCATGTGAGGCAAGCATTCTACCACTGAGCCACCTTCCCAGCCCCCAGTGTCATATTCTTAAACCAAAGGAACAGAGTCAGAGACTCTGTGCCCAACAACACACAGGATAGAAAACACATTTGAAAAATATAACAACTAAAATATTTTACTGACCAAAACGTGTTCACTAGTGGCAGAACTGTGTGCAGACTGTCGCTTTCCTCAGCAGCTTATTAATTCTGATTATCAATAGGGATTGACTGCCACAGTTCAAACTGAAGTTACTGAGCTTGAGTTGTACAGCAGATCTTTCCCTCACAGGCTTTCTCTAGCCACAGGGTCCCATCCAAGATCTTGTCACTAACCTCCTCTTCAGGAATGGCAATCTTCTCATCAAAGTATGTGGCAAAGGGTTCCTCTGAGGGTTCAGTGGACTGTGTGAGGGAGGAGTTACTATAGGCCGGGTTGATGGCACCAACACTGACAGTGTCCCCATGGTCCCCAGAAGCATCACCTGAATTAATATATTTCAGACAAAAATGAATTAGAATGAACAAAACACACTAACAGTTCATCCAGAGTAATAATGAAATAATTTTTATTTATTTAATTTTTAGTAATGCTAGAGACTAAACACAAGGCTTTGGGCATGCTAGCCAAGTGTCCCATCACTGAGCTATATATTCTTCCTTTTTTTTTTTTTTTTTCTTGGTCAGTTGTGGGGCTTGAACTCTGGGCCTGGGCACTATCCCTCAGCTTTTTAGCTCAAGGTGAGGGCTCTACCACTTGAGCCACAGCGCCACTTCCAGTTTTCTGGTGGTTTATTGGAGATAAGAGTTTTGCGGGCTGGGAAGGTGGCTCAGTGGTAGAGCGCTTGCCTTGCATGCCTGAGGCCCTGGGTTCGATTCCTCAGCACCACATAAGCAAAAAGAAAAAAGCCGGAAGTAGCGCTGTGGCTCAAGTGGTAGAACGCTAGCCTTGAGCTGAAGAGCTGAGGGACAGTGCCCAGGCCCAGAGTTCAGGCCCATGACTGGACCTCCCCCCCTCCAAAAAAAAAAAGCATTTTGTGGACTTTCCTGCCCAGGCTGGCTTTGAACCATGATCCTCAGATCTCAGCCTCCTGACTAACTAGGAATACAGGTGTGAGCCATCAGTGCCCGCCTACGCTATATATTCTTAGCACCTAAAACTAAATCATTTTATACCTAAATATACAAGGGACCATCCTAATTATGGCTATTTTTTTCCAATAGTTTATTTTTATCTAATTATTTTAAAATAATTTTGAGGGGGTTTAAACTCAGGCCCTTTTTTTGCTTTGGTTATTTTTTTTTGGGGGGGGTCCGGTAGTGGGGCCTGAACTCTGAGCCTGGGCGCTGTCCCTCAGCTCTTCAGCTCAAGGCTAGCGCTCTACCACTTGAGCCAAAGTGCCACTTCCGGCTTTTTTTTCTTTTTGCTTATGTGGTGCTGAGGAATGGAACACAGGGTCTCATGCATGCAAGGCAAGCGCTCTACCACTGAGCCACCTTCCCAGCCCTGCTTTGGTTATTTTTTAGGTAGCAATTTTGCTAATGCCAGCTTTATTTTATTTTTTATTTTTTTTTTGTTGGTCCTGGGGCTTGAACTCTGGGCCTGAGTGCTGTCCCTCAGCTCTTCAGCTCAAGGCTAGTGCTCTACCACTTGAACCATAGAGCCACTTCTGGTTTTCTGGTGGTTTACTGGAGATAAGAGTTTCACAAACTTTCCCGCCTGGGCTGGCTTTGAACATCAATCCTCAGATCTCAGCCTCCTGAGTAGCTAGGATTACAGGTGTGAGCCACCGGTGCCTGGCCTAACACAAGCTTTAGACTGTGATCCTCCTACCTATGCCTCCCATGTAGCTGGGATTACAGGCATGAGCTATCTCACTTGCTAAAAGAATTATTTTTTAACTAGATAACATATGGACATGGTAAAATTAAAGTACAAGCCCAGTGTGGTAATCGTGCCACCAATTCCAGCCCTAGGAAGGCTGAGGCAGGAGGTCCTCAATTCAAGGCCAGCTTGGGCTACACAGTAAGACCTGTCTCAAAGATCTGCCAAATATAGCTCTCCCTTTCTTCTTCCTCCTCTTCCTCCTCCTGTCTCCCTCTCCCTGAACTCCCCCGCCCCATTCCTCCACTTATCTCCAATCACAATTAGATCAGTTTTAACACTAATTTCACAATGGGGTTTCTACTTCACATGTCTAGTCACATTCTGTCATTTTTATAATTATTTCGTTTTTCTCTCAAAACACTGACATTTAGGGATTAAAATATATCATGTCAAGCAATCCCATTAGTAACTTAAAATCGAACATTTTTAAAGGGGTAAGACACAGTGGCTAATGCCTGTAATCCCATCCACTCAGGAGACGTGGTGGAGGACTATGGCCTAAGGTCAGCCCAGGCAAAGAAGTTAACAAGACATCTCAATGAAAAGCTGAGGTATAGTGGAGTATATCTGTTACCCCAGCTATGCAGGAGGCATAAATAGAAAGATCATGTTCAAAGGCAACCTGGACATAAACTAAGACCTTATTTGAAAAATAACTAAAGCATAAAGGGATGAGGGTATGGCTCAAATGACAGACTGCTTATCTAACAAGTACATAGCCTGAGTTCTAATCCTAATGCTGCCCAGAAAAAAAGAAAGGAAAGGAAATATATGTTTACTAGACTGTACTCTCTATATTCGTATTTGGTAGGACTTTATACCTCCACCAGGATTCTCAAAAAAGGTAGAAATTACCTGAGTGCTGTGTTGTGGGTCTTTGTTGTAAGCTAGACAGGAAGATTTCAAGTTCAATCTGGACAATTTAGCCAATCCATGTCAAAAAAGGAAGGATTAAAAAAGGAAAAAAGAAAAGGAAAGTGGGAGGGAGGAGGAGGAAAGAAAAAATGGGATGGGGGTAGAAGTTGCAAAATCCTTGTAATTTAGGCAAAAACCTGTACTGCAGGAAACCCATAGGCAGAAACATTTGTGTCCTGACTAAGCCCTATAGGAAAGGCTTCTGCCATAGGTGACAGAGATAGCAGGACTCATTTAGCCTGTTTTCAGTGTTTCCCAAAGACCTGCATTTTACAATCAACCTCTTTTTTTTTTCTCTCTTTTTTTTATGAGGCCACTATTAGGGCTTGAATTCAGGGCCTTGTGCTCTCACCAAGCTTGCTTTGCTCACAGCTAGTGTTCTACTACTTGAGCCATCCTCCAGCCCAGCATTTTGATGGTTAATGGGAGATGAAGTCTTGAGGACTTTTCTGCCTGGGTTTACTTTAAACTGTGATCCTCCAACTCTTGGCTTCCTGAATAATTAGGGTTACACATATGAACCACCTCAGCCTGGTTACAGTTAAATCTTAAATGCAGAAAATAGAAGGTCTGAAAGAAAAGATCCAACCCACCAGAAATATACCAAGTCCACTTTGATACAGGCATCAAATAGCTAATAAATCCTTATACTTGCCAACCAGAGAAGGAAGAGTTTTGTTTCTATGGCAAGCTTGACTACATTGATGAGGATACTTATAGAAAAGGAATGAAAATTCCAAAAAGGAAGCTCAGATTTAGGAAAGATTAGGCACTCAAAAGTTCCAGTAAAATACAGACTACAAGAGGCTTGCCTTGTATTGTATGTCTTGCTGCCTGCACATCTGAGACATTAAAAGTGAAATGAGTGGTCAGAGCACTCAGGAGGACATTATGCTAAGTCTGGAAATAGTACTGTCTGTGCAAGCATTATTGTTATACAAAACAAACCTAATAGTGGCTCATCTCTAAATTGAAAATAAGATATGAGGCAGATCTCTGTGGTTATAAGTTTATATTCATATGTCCCTTATTATATTATCAGGAATGACCTCTGCATGGTATTGTTGAAACAGACAAAAGGAAACTATGGTAATTTTCTGCTACTATCATAAGCCTAATTCCAAACAAAAAGTATACAATAACACAAAGCTGTAAGTTACCATCTGGCATCTTCTGTTCAGGACCCAACACCATGGTAGATACCTGAGTTCCTGTGTTCTTAGAATAGGATTCTGAAAAGAGAAAAAAAAAAGAGAAAGAAGAATTAGCAAATACAACCACAAGTACAGAGCCAGAATTCTGTTTCTCAGTACAAGTGAACCCAGTCTGTGAATAGTATTTTTATACTAAATTAGACAGTGCTGAAAATAATTATAGCTTTCAGAATATGACTAAGAGCTGCTTAACAAAAATTAGAAAAGTTTTAGTCATGGTGCTGTATGTCTCTTACTTCCAGTGCTCAAAAGGCAGAAGAAAGGTTACAAGTTTGAAGCCAGTCTTGGCTAAACAGTGAATTTAAGATCAGCCTGAGCTACACAGTTAGACATCATCTTGATGACAACCAAAAAAAAAAAGCAGGTCTAGTGGAGAACAGCTGTAGTCCCAGTTACTTGAGAGGCAAAGGCAAAAGGATCAAGCTTAGGAAACTAGCAAGGCAGTTAGCAAAACTTTCAAAAACAAAAATACAAATTAAGCAGAAACATGGTTTTTATGGGGGGAGGAATAATGAGGAAGGGGACACAAATGGAAGGGTGAGCAAATGCAGTTATTATATTCAACATAGATTTTGTAAAAGTTGAACTATGTAACTTGAGGGTAGAGAGGGGAGAGGGGAGGAAGTGGGGAAGAATGACGGAAGGAGTGACACTGATTAAAATGCATTATACTCATAACCTGACTTACCCTTTTTGTACAAATACTTAGTACTTTTTTAAATATGATTTTAATAATCTTTTAAGTAGTTGTACAAAGGAGTGCCATTTAACAAAAGTTTATGAATACAATGCATCATGATCAGGGTTACCCCCTTCAACATTGTCACCTTACTTGGCCAACTTCTTTATAAATATGAACACATTCACTTCTGATTAAAGCCCTATGAAGTATGTGTTAGTTATCATTCATTTTTAGATGAGAAAATAGGCATACAGAGGTTAAATAATTTGCCTAATATTACACAGTTGTCAGATGACAGGGGCAGGTGTTGTAAGGTAAATTCAATAGTGAGATACAAAGAAGCCACATTCTGAGAGGTCGAATCAAGAGTCTTTATTAAAAGGCTGGCAACTGCATGGTGGACTCCTGTCTCAAAGACCAGCACCCAGCAATTACACTTAACACTATTAGGAAACTGAGCCATGAAGGCCAGAGAGGAAAGGACAAAAACAATACTAACAAACCAATTCACCTCCAATGGAGAGCTGAAGTGATTGGAGAAGAGACAGGAGACAGGACACGAATATAGAGACATGTGACACGGCTAATCAATACTTTTTTTAGAAAAACAGCTTGACTGGAAAAAAAACCCCCACAAACAAAAAGGGGTGTGGCTCAAGTGATAGAGAGGCTTTTAATTATGTCTCTGCTGATCAGACATAAATTTTCAAGCCAAACTGAAGTAAAAGGTATTTTACTGATATAAGGAAATCCTGGTTGGTTTTGTGCGTGTGCGCGTTTGTGTGTGTGTGTGTGTGTGTGTGCTGCTGAGAATGAACACTCACATGGTAGAAACTCTACTACTGAATCATATGTAGCCTCTAGGCAAGCCCTTTTTATTTAATAAGCACTTACAGAGAGGCTGCCAAACAATTATCTACTGTCTTTGCCTCTAAATTACCCCAAATGCCTAAAACCACACTCCCTTACCTTTTGACATTTTAAAGGTCAAAGATGTAAAACCCCCTGCTCCACTTAACAAATGAATATCATGGTTCAATCTTGGAAGAGTACCATGAGCACCAGTGAGCTAGTAGCAAAGGCCACTATTTTATAACATCCAATTTCCTTGAAGAGATTTTTTTTGGGGGGGTCCGGTCATGGGGCCTGCACTCTGGACCTGGGTGCTGTCCCTCATCTCTTCAGCTCAAGGCTAGAGCTCTACCACTTGAGCCACAGCACCACTTCCAGCTTTTTTCTTTTTGCTTATGTGGTGCTGAGGAATCGAACCCAGGGCCTCATGCATGCAAGGCAAGCGCTCTTCCACTGAGCCACCTTCCCAGCCCTGATCCTTGAAGAGATTTTTAACTATAAAAGCCCATTTTCATTTTCCAACCCCTAACACTTAGAAGCAGTAGCCAACCATCCCTGGATCTCAAGGCAAGCTCAGGTACCAGCAGGACTACAGGATACCAGTAATTCTCTATGCCTTTCCTGGTGTGTCACATATTCTGTTGGGGTAAGTTAAACTGAGAACGGGGGCATATAAGCAAGCCTATTTGGCCATGTATTCACAGCACATTCTCAACAGCTCCACAAAAAAAGGGGCTGAGTTTAAATATTTTTCTTTATATATATATATATATATTTGTAAAGATCCTGTACAGAGGGGTTACAGTTACATGAGTAAGATAATGAGTACATTTCCTATCGAACATTGTTGCCCTCTCCTTTGTTTTTCTCTTACCGTCTCTTCCCTCCCCCAGTTTAAAATTTTAAAAGGACTTATTTGGAATTTTCTTCTCAGCTGATTCCAAATGTACAAGGGAAGGACAAAGTAGTATTTATTATCAACTGATTACCTCTCCTAAGTCCTATCTTAAAGGTTAATAGAGCCTCCTATTAGCTATTTCTGACTGCTGAAGTAGTCTTTTCCCTAACTGAACAGTGCTCTAGTTTCTCTTTTGGATAATCTTTGTATCAACAAATATACTTTATACCTATCTTATATACTTCTAGTATCTAGACATGAAAGGAGGTCAGACCAATCATCAGTTACCTTGAATATAAAATATATCATTACTTACTAATTTAAAAAACATCATCATAGCCAGGTGCCAGTAGCTCATGCCTGTAATCCTAGCTACTCAGGAGGCTGAGATTTGAGGATCACCCTTCAAAGCCTTCCTGGGCAGGAAAGTCCGTGAGACTCCAATAAACCACCAGAAAACTGGAAGTAGCGGTGTGGCTTAAGTGGTAGAGTGCTGGCTTTGAGCTGAAGAGCTGAGGGACAGCGCCCAAGCCTAGAGTTTAAGCCCCATGACCGACAAAAAAAGAACAACCCGGGCTGGGAAGGTGGCTCAGTGGTAGAGCGCTTGCCTTGCATGCTCGAGGCCCTGGGTTCGATTCCTCAGCACCACATAAGCAAAAAGAAAAAAAGCCGGAAGTGGCGCTGTGGCTCAAGTGGTAGAGCACTAGCCTTGAGCTGAAGAGCTGAGGGACAGCGCCCAGGACCAGAGTTCAGGCCCCACGACCGGACCCAAAAAAAAAAAAAACAACCCATCATCGATCATCGTTCCCCCCAATAATCAATAACAAGTAAGTTCTGTTTCTCTTGGTTTGTCAGGTTTTAAATCACCAAGTGGCTAAATACTAGCCAACAGATCCAAATAACACTGACTAAATACAACTCCCTTCAGCCCGTTCACTCAAATTCCAATCACAGCACCAACTCTTGGAAGTGCCAGAGCCTTTTTACTTTTGTAAAGATGTATGTCTAGTAAGTGATGATATCAGGTTATCTTAACCCTCAAGAATATAGAAACCACAAATCAGATATGGGACTACGGCTCTCACAGGAAAATGGAGTATAGTAACACAAAACTGCATAAACCATACTGCTTCTGTAAGGATGGCTGGTACCTTAAGAATAAACAGGAGCTGGGCATATTGGCACATACCTGTAGTGCTAGCACCTGGGAGGCTGAGGCAGGAAGATCATGAGTTTGAAATCAGCCTACGTCTACTGCCATAGCATTCCAAACATATCTGATCTCATCTGAAACCAGCTTGAGATATATAGCAAGACCCTATCTCAAAAATACCAAGGGCTTAGATATAGGTCAGTAGTAGAGTTCTTGACTAGCACGTGCAAGTCACTGGGTTTGAGACCCAACACTGGGGAGAGGGAGGATAAAGAAGGTACAGAAGTATGCATAATCTATTTTAGGAAGATTCCTATCCAAATCATACTTTTCAAAGGTATATTTAAAAAGCAAACAATTGAAGTAATATTGTGTTTTCTGCTAAGACTGTAGTCTGCAAGTAATTATGGGTATAAATATTTTATGAAAAAAGCACTGAATAATTATTAGTGGCATTCTAAGTGGACATTCCCATCAAAAGTACACAGAGACTCAATAAAATACAAGAAGTCTGGTCTTCAGATATGTAAAGATTATTATTCCAAGAAAGAAAATGAGTTCTAGATTCTGATTTTCTAATTATAGCTTTTAGTCAGCAATCTATGAGATCCATAGTTTGTGATGTCTACAGAACAAAATTATGGCAGGTAAGAGAAAAGCTTGGATGTATATTTAAGTTGGGTAATATTTTAAGTCCTCATGAAAAGAAGTATAACCAATATGGAAGTGGGAAGCTAGGCAGCTTTGCTCTCCAGGACTCCAAGGTTGCTCCAGTCAGTTCACAACATTAAGGAAAGATCCAGAGTTAGAACATAAGCAACCAGAATTAACCCAGCAACACACTCACAAATATGAGTAATAGAGCTCTGTGACTCTAGTGCACCTATAACCATAAAGTGTCATTTACCTAAAATGTAATACTTTTCCTCCCATCAAAAATTAATCAAGGGCTGGGAATGTGGCTTAGTGGTGGAGTGCTTGCCCTGCATGCATGAAGCCCTGGCTTTGATTCTTCAGTACAGTATAAACAGAAAAAGCTAGAAGTGATGCTGTGGCTCAAGAGGTAGAGTGCTAGCCTTGAGCCAAAGAAGCTCAGGGACAGTGCCCAGATCCTGAGTTCAAGTCCCAAGACTGGTAAAAAAAAAAATCAAGGTGCAGGGTATTTGTGGTCCATGTCTGTAATCCTAGCTACTCAAGAAGCTAAGATCTGAGGATGGTGGTTCAAAGCTGATCCAGGCAGGAAAGTCCACAAGACTCTTATCTACAATGAGCCACCAGAAAACTGAAGGTGGAGTTATGGCTTAAAGTGGCAGAGTGTGAGCCTTGAGCAGAAAAGCTCAGGAACAGTGCTCTAGGCACTGAGTTCTAAGCCCCACAAATGACCCCTGCCCCCAAGGAAAAAAATTAATCAAGGGCTGGGACGTAGCACAGTG